GGGGGGAGGGGGGGGGCTGGCCGAACCGGGATCATATATAGAAGGCTTCTATAAGGTATATAAACCTTCTATAAGGCTCCTATGACGGTAGCTTCCGACGTGAAAATGTCCTAGACTTTGCTTGGAGAATCAGGTCGTCCCTCAGGATATCGGGATTCCTGAACACGTTTTCACAAGGCTGTGATCAGAAGAGTTTCTTGAAGGTTTCCGGTGCACTATAGAGGAGTGCACCGAGACTGGCATTGGGAATGGCATCACGAATTGTCCGCGCTTCCATTATTTTTTTTTGATGCGCGCAGGGTTTCGGGATTCAGGGTTTGGAGTTAGGGTTCATGGATTCGGGCTTTCAGAGTCTAGGAAGTTAGAGTTTTGCAGTTTTGCAGATGATGTTTAAGAAGTAGAAGACGCTGCAAACAATCTGCTGGGTCACACTCACGAGAAGCCCACTACCGGCCCTCAATGCCACATAGAACCACCTGTAAGGAGCCCTAAACCCTCAACCCTCAACCCCGACGTAACCCCGAACCCCCAACCCCAAGACCCCCGAAACCCTAAACCCCGAAACCCTAAACCCCTAAACCCTAACCCCTAAACCCCCAAGAATGCCCGAGTCTTATCCCCTCGGCCTTCTGGCCAAGAAAAGCACCTAGGGCTTGAGAAAGTCCCACGGTGGTTGTGGACTTGCCTCCCATGAGCTCAGAAGGATGGCAGCCACTAGAATCCAGGGCGTCCCTTAAAAGGGGCTCTTTTCAGGGTTACTATAAGGGTACTATAAGGGTACTATATACTTTGTGCCATCCCTGTCCAGGTAAGTTACGCCACATGCAGGGATTAGGCTGGGGGTGGTTAAGCTTGTCATATTCGACTACACAATACGATGTTCAGCTCTTTTGTTTCTTGTACACAATGGCATATCATATTCTGCTATGTATATATGTATATATATATATATTTATTTATTTACAAGGCGCAGAAATATGATTGTATATATCTATACACGCATAAATGAATGTTGCAAAATTGTATGTGTGTAGATATATATACACATGTAAAAATGTATTGCTCAGAGGGTTGGGGTTTAGGGTTTTACGGTCTGGGGCGAGAGAAGGTTTACTACCAGTGCTCCCGCACGGGTTCTAGGAGGCCTACTATAAGGCGTAGGTTTTCTGGGTTCTTAAGGGATTTAATTTAAGTTACCATAAGAAAGAAATCATGTTATTTACCAATTACTACATATTACTACTATAGATCCATATAATGGCAACTTAAACTAAGTCCCTTCACAAGAACCTAATTTTGGGATTTGAGGGTTGGGGGCTCGTCTAGGATTCAAGGCGGATGAGCGAATTTTCGAAGCCACTCGCAGCGGTGCGTCGCAAAACCCCGTGGGGGCCCCTGAAACCCTACGGGACCCAAACCCAAGTTTAGGGTCTTAGGGATTGGGGGCTTCGGGGTTTGGATGGTTTGGGGTTTAAGATGCTTTGGACCTTGCACCCAAACATAGAAAAGCTGCCTTCACCGAGCGGGGTCGGATTGATCCCGCAGACCACAACGTAGTGGCCTCGCTTGGGTGAGCTGTAGCGAGCCATTTTGGAGTAGGATGACATGTTTAGGACAATTTCTGATTCGATAGGGGCTTCTAGATTCTAGGCTGTGACCTTAAATCCAAACTCCCACGGCTGTAGCCTCAACCGAAAATTGCTCAGGAGAGTCTGAATCCCAAACAACCCGTACTCTGCGGCCCGATAACCCCGACCCGAAACCCAATCCTAGAAAAGCCAAAGTAAAACGCAAACACGTGACCCCAGACCCAAACCCCAAACAACCCCAAGCTGCCAAACCTCAAGGTACCCTGCACCAAGCGCCCGTCTGTCGAGATGCCGTTAGGTTTGTCTTTCAGGCGGTCCCAGATGTTCAGGTTGATTTTCCCTTTGTAGGGCCCGTACGAAAAGAGGTCCTGCAGTCTGGAATCTTGGGGTGTCATGGCTTTTGTGTCCAGGGCCTTGGGTGTCGTAATGAAAGCTTGAACGCATTAACCTGGTTACTGCTGCTGAGATGGGGCTGTGCCCGGGGAGTCACCTTGTGGATCTTCACCCGGTCTCCTTGTTAGTGCCATCACATTGAAGGCTTCCGGGAGTTACACCGCGGCCTTGTGGTACATAAAGTCTGGATTCTGAGACGGATTCCTAGAAGTCGCACACGAGTCAATTGCCCCCGCTATTTTAAGGCTTCGTGCTGGATCTTTGTTAGTAGATCTGGGCCTGCGCTGTAATGAAGGCTTTGGCTTCGGCTCGGGTTCTCGGGGCTTACGCGCAACTGCAATGGAGGCCGTGGTCACCCCTGCAGGGGGGGACAAGGCGTATGTGATTCTTGGGGTAGATAGTTCCGTAAATATCTATGGGGGTGGGTCTGCAATTGAGTGTGCCTCCAAACCCTCAGCCCTTGCCACCTGTCGATGAAAGTTCATGAAACCTAAATCCTTTACGTCCTGCAACCAGCAGTTGTACCCGACTCAAGTCCTAAAGCTCTGCACCGTGCAGTCACAAGCCCTCCAAGCATCAACCAGCCCGAGATGCCCCATTACCCGTTGCAAGAGACCCTGTAACCTAGCCCCTAAAACACCTCAACCAGAACTCCGACCTGTCATAAACATGGCCGTAGTGTGTGCGTGTGTGCGCGCATATGTAAATAGATATGTATATATACTATATATATATATAGGTACATACAGGGCTTAACATTTCTGTAGAAATATCTGCAAACACACATGACATGCCACGGACGCAATGTTTTTCTGCTTAAAATGCACAGTGTTTACACGTTCAGGGCGGAAGAAGGTAAGCAAGCTCCACAGAAGGGAGAAAGGGATCGAGCAACAGGACCAACAAAACAACACCACACAAGCGAAGTAAAGCAGAAACAGCTGAAGGCAGAGAAAAGTGGCAAGCAAAAACGCAAGCGTGGCAAAGGTCAGGAAAAGGTTGCAGGCTATACGGAAAGCCTAGACCATGAAGGAACTTCAAATGGAGGCAGAAAGCTGCGAAACAGAAGGCAGAAGCAGCAGAGAGCAAAAAACTCTATCCGAAAAGCGGCAAGCAACAGAAATAAACGAGAACAATCCAAAGCGCAGTAACCATCAAACACAAGGACGAAGCACTGACAGCAAAAGCAGTAAGCATGCAGGAATAACGAAAAACGAAAAGAGGAAGCAGCAAACAAGCCACAACAAAAGCAAGCTGAAGCCGGAAAGCATGCCAGACCACAAAAAGGGAAAGCGGAGTCAAAGCGTAAGAAGCCAAGCAAAAACAACAGCGATATCTTTGCAATGGTTCGAACTCTCTGTTTAACAACGTCCCGGAGTGGACTGGCCAACTCCGGTGAAACAGCCGCCTTGGCGTCCTGAGACCATGTCTTGACCTCTCAATCCAGTTCCGACGAGGCTCCGAGGACTCCACCACCACCCCCAGCCGTGCATTCGGGCAAGGATGCTCTGGCCAATGGTTGCAGCCAAGAATCGTGTCTGCTGCGGCCTGGGAAAAAACGCACAAGCACAGCCTGACCGGGAGATTAAGGCTTTGTTGGAGTAACGCACCCGTCTGGCTCTGCGGCCTGTGGTTTTTTCGACGCGGTCGAAAGTGGCGACCTTGAAGCAGCTTCATGAAGGCATAGAAAGTATGTCCGCTTATTTGCCGTAGTTAGTCTATAGAGGCGGCCTGTTTTCATGCCTTCCTTTGAGGGGTAAGTTGGGCTTCCTGGCTGGGGTCCGTATCCCCTTCCAGACCCCCATAAACCCCCCAAAAGCTTAAGAAAACCCCCTACGAAGGGTTAGGTACTCAGCCGTGAGCTAAACCATACACAACAGTCTTAAGAACACTCATCAACTCTGATGATGACTCTTGATCTTCTTGAGAAGACATGCTTCACTGCTTGATGAAAGCTTCGAGAAGATCAACTTTATGAGGACGGCATTAGGCTACCTCAGGTCGCAGACCCGAAGGGTTTAGGCAGAGGGTTCAGCGCTGAGCCAACTGCGAGTCGAGTGAGCCGCAGAACCTGACGCATAGATGCCCGCACCCGAGCGATTTCAATGACATGTACAGTTGTTGGATCCCTGGTCAGCGCAGTATGATTCGATGTTGTGTTGCATTGATGAAATCATTAGGATGGCTAGCTCAGAGTGAAGCTAGACGTTTGAGTGATGCATAAGACATCCTTAACTTTACTTGCCTCAGACTTTTGTCCGCAATCACACCAAAGCGCTATTCTAATCATCAATGCTGCTGAAGGGCCGAGTCAATCGTTGGCAAGCTGCGCGGCATTGCCTCGGCTGCGCTGCAACTTGGCACCGGGCCACGGCGGCTTGGGCCAAGATGCGTTTTGCCCGGCTGCCAGCAGCGCCGCAACACCAAAAGAGCGAGAACCGCACACACAGGTAGCAAGCAAATGCCTGCGGGAAATGTGGCTTCAACGCCAGAAGGATTGAAGACCATGGCACAATGGACGTTGCCATCGTTCGGGCATGGATGCCCTGGCCAACGGTTGCACTGGCGCTTCTGCTCAGGTTGGGTGCTGAGTTTGTGGTGACGACTCTGAATCCGAACATGGCTGCGACAGGGTCTAGTAAACCCTCCCAAACCCTAAACCCGTAAACCCTGAACCAGCCCTAAACCTCTTGCACCTCTAAACCCTAATACCCATCAACCCTTGATACAAATGGCCAGACTTGCAGCGAGGGTCATCAGCAAGTTCTGGGTGCGCCGTCCTCGTCCTAACCCTAAACCATTAGACCGACCAAACCCCTGAACCCGTAAACCCCAAATCCCCTAAACGGCGAAACCCCCAATCCCCTAAACTCCTAAATCCTAAACCCCTAAACCCAAAACCCCCAATCCCCTAAACCCCTAAACCCCTAAACCCTAAACCCCTAAACCCTAAACCCCCAAAGCTTAGAACCCTAAACTCTAAACCCAAAACCCCTAATCCCCTAAACCCTAAACCCCTAAACTCTAAACCCAAAACCCCTAAACCCTAATCCCCTAAACCCCTAAACTCTTAACCCAAAACCCCTAATCCCCTAAACCCCTAATCCCCTAAACCCCCAAACCCCCAAACCCCCAAACCCCAAACCCCTAAACCCCTAAACTCTAAACCCTAAACCCCTAATCCCCTAAACCCCTAATCCCGTAGTCCCCTAAACCCCTGAACCCCTAAACCCCTAAACCCCTAAACCCAAAACCCCTAAACTCTAAACCCCAAAACCCAAAACCCTAAACCCTAAACCCCTAAACCCTAAACCCTAAACCGAAAGTCTCCA